GCCTCGGGCCCCTGTTCTGTCCCTTATCCCCCGAGCAAATGCCCACGCTGGGCTTGCTCTTAGGAGGATTTAGCCATAGCTAAAGGCCAGTGGCTATAAAGGTAGCAGGCTAGCCTTTTTTGCTTTGAAATGAGAGACAGATGGCTCGGGAAGAGAGAAAACTTTTGTTTTTGATTTGCTATGATGGGGAAATTTTTAATTGTGACGGGAAAACAAGTGGTACATCACGTGTTTTAATAGAAGTGGTGGGAAATTTCATTTTTTAAGTTATTAACTTTTTAGCATATATATCTCACTATTTGTACAGTAACACATGATGTACTACTCCGTGTACCGATCACATTGAAAAATCTCTCGCTAAGATGGGAAGGATATTGAAAAAGAAGCAATAGGTGAGATTTGTGAGGGCAAAAGAAAAACGGGTTAAATTAAGAGGGGTTTGAATAAAGTGTTTTAAGTTGCGAAAGAATTTGAATCGGTAGATTTTGATCAATAAAATCTTGTGCCGAGATGGAGTTGGTCTCCACAAGGTCCTCATAATAGTTGTAATTGGTATCAGAAAATTGAAAGAATTAAAAAAAGTAAGGTGGCTGGGGGTATGAAAACTCTCTATGCGTATATATTGTAGTAGGACATGCATAGAGCTTTTATATACGAGTAAATTGTAACAATGGTCCCTCAACTTTAATCAAATTAGAGCAATAGTCCCTCAACTAAAAATCCATTACTATTGGTTCCTCAACTTATCAAAATGTGTAGCTATAGTCATTTTTATCAATTTCGTCAAAATTTTGTCGAAATAAGTTATGTTGGAATAACTATTTATATAATAAGGGTCCCTCTGTAAGATCTCACATCGCCCAGGGGAATGTTCCTTATATGTATATTCTCATCCACCACCGTAGCACGATATTGTCCGCTTTGAGCCCCGACCACGCGTTCACGGTTTTGTTTTTGGGAACTCACACAAGAACTTCCCAGTGGGTCACCCATCATGGTAGTGCTCTTGCGCGCTACTCGCTTAACTTCGAAGTTCCCATGAAACCCGAAGCCAGTGAGCTCCTAAAAGGCCTCGTGCTAGGTAGGGATGGGAATATACATATAAGGATCACTCCCCTGGGCGATGTGGGATCTTACAATCCACCCCCCCTTAGGGGCCCGAAGTCCTCGTTGGCACACCACAGCCAAGATTAGGCTCTGATACCAAATTGTCACATTCCCGCCCAGGATCCACCACATCTCAGGCCCGCTCCACCACCATAGCACGATATTGTTCGCTTTGAGCACCGACCATACCCTCATGGTTTTGTTTTTGGGAATTCACATGAGAACTTCCTAGTGGGTCACCCATCATGGGAGTGCTCTCGCGCGCTACTCGCTTAACTTCGAAGTTCCAATAGAACCCGAAGCAGTGAGCTCCCAAAAAGCTTCGTGCTAGGTAGGGATGAGAATATACATATAAGGATCACTCCCCTGGGCGATGTGGGATCTTACAATAGAAAGCGAGTAAGTGCTAGTGGTGACGACGATTAGTAAGTGGTAGTTGGTGGGAGCAAATCAATGTTCTCAGGCTCATTACCACTAAAGAAATTTGTGTGGATCTTTAGAACAATTCTCGGCGATTGTTCTACAGATAGCCTTCTTACTTACTTTAACCCCGCAGTCAAGTTCCTTAACCTTTGACCATCAGCTTTACACCAAATTCTTCGGGCGTTGACTTCGTTTAAATTAGATAATTTCTTAAGTGACTCTTCAGTAGCAGACACTATTCCCATCAGTTTCCAAAAGGAGTTGCGATTCTTGTTGTTGTTGTAGTTGGACTCAGATGATGAAAATCTAGTCTTGTTTGGATAAACAAAGTCTTTGAACTTCAACTGGTCTAGTACTAGGCGGTAAATCCTAGCTCCTTATCCACGTACTCTCCAGTAAGGTGAACTTAGCACCTTACTTATAGCCAACTGACCAGTGCTCTTGTCCATTAACTGTTCAACTTTGTAATTTTCAATGTAATGGCTTTTGTCACCCTTCGGTTGTCAACCAGCACTTGACCATCTCGATGTCCCCAGGACCTCAGGGTCAGGGCGTGTCAGATTGGCCCGGGATGTGGTGGACCCCAGGCCGGATGTGACAATTTGGTATCAGAGCCTAACCCTGGCCGTCGTGTGCTGACGAGGACGTCGGGCCCCTAAGGGGGGTGGATTTAAGATCCCACATCTCCTAGGGGAGTGATCCTTATATGTATATTCTCATCCCTACCTAGCACGAGGCTTTTTGGGAGCTCACTGGCTTCGGGTTCCATGGGAACTTCGAAGTTAAGCGAGTAGCGTGCGAGAGCACTCCCATGATGGGTGACCCACTGGGAAGTTCTCGTGTGAGTTCCCTATCGTGCTACGGTAGTGGAGCGGGCCCGGGATGTGGTGGACCCAGGGCCGGGATGTGACATTCTTAACTCATCAAAGTGTGTAATTATGGTCATTTTCGTCAACTGCGTCAAAATTTTTGTCAAAATGAGTTATTGGAAGGACCCTTGCTACAATTGGGTTAAAGTTAAAGGACCATTTCTCCAGTTGAATTAAAGTTGAGGGACCAATGATAATAGATTTTTAGTTGAGGGACCATAAATGCACGTTTTAATGAGTTGATGGACTAATGGTAATAAATTTTTAATTAAGAGACTATTGCTCCAATTGAGTTAAAGGATATTTGAACCAAGAAAAAGCATGATCCTTTGCCCAACCCATCAATTTCTGGTCCAAGATATGGGAATAAATTCCAGTCTTACCTACAAGAAGCCCCACTATACCGAACCCTACATAAAGTCCACCAATACGGACCCTTGATGGAAACCTACCACATCATGCGTTACTTTGACAAATATTTATGCCTTTCCCAAAACCTTGTTTTTCCTTGTTTTGACGATTGAGTAATGATGAGGGAACAATGTCAAATTGTGTTCAAAATCCCAAATAAGAGGGGAAGAGAGTAAGAATGTGGCTTGGGTTTTGTCCATAATTAGTGGGAAACAAGGTTAGAGTCAACTACCCCAACCTTTGTACGTAACTTGTATTGTGGAATTGTGGGAATTCATGTTATACTAGCTAGTGCAGTTGTGGTCACAATGCAATCCTAACAAATCATTTGATTTAAGATTTTCTTTTTCGTTATTTGATGATCAATCTATTCATTCATAGCCACACAAAAAGTCTAGTTTTATGAAACGTCTGTGATGAGTTTGGTGAAATTTTCTTGTCAAATATCCGACATGTATATTGATTTTCATACAAAAATAGGAAATGTATGATCAAATTTAAATTACTCCTCTTGATGAAGTACACACTGAGAATTGTATCCAAGAATAGTAGTTGTCACTGTGAATTTTGTGGTAACTTCTTTTATTAAGAGAATAAGGGGCAAAAGGATGTGCACCATTTAGATGGACGTGTGCATTAAAAAGTAATATGTTTCTTAATTCGATAGGTTACCTATACATTATTGTCAACAAAAATATTGGCTCAAGCATGGAAAAGAAAATGTTTGCACGTTTCTGGAAACGAGTAAAACTTCTCTTTTTTATATGAAAAATACATTCAGTCGTTGTGTATAAGAATTGTTGATCTTTTTCATGTATGGTACTCTTTCAATAGTGTTAATGGTTAAAATCTGGTTTAACTATATGCTTGGTAGGTGGAGCTAGGTGACTAGAAACATTTTAGAAATTAAACAAATATCTCTATTGGCCAGGGTGGAGAAAATGTGCCTACAACCAAACATAAACACATATTTGTATACAATTGAGAACACATAAGAATCTATTATTAGGTGGTTAGAGTGATACTTCATTATGGTGAGATAATTTGTGACATGTTAAAGTAAAATTAAAATAGTATTGATATATAAATATAAAAAAAATTCCATAATTTTAACTACCACATATTGAATCCATCAAGAGAGAATCATAGACATAGCATTTTTTTTGTCAATCAACTTGTTGAAAAATCAGAAAGCATATCGAGAGGAACCAATACAATGCTCAAAAAGTAACTGTCATAGAAAAATATACCATCGTTAATAATCACTAACTAGAAAACAACATGCAACGAAAGTACTTTAATTTTATCTTATCTTTTGCTTAATGAATACGATTTCGAAGTGCTATGAGCTCCAATTATCTCACCAATTGTTCACACTTTTTATACAGACTGAAAATGACATGGGGAATAAAGTAGATTATCATGGAATGATGGAAATAATTGAGTCTCGACAATGACCAATTAAGCTACATGTACCTGATGAAAAATACAATTAAATAAGCTAGTTTATTTTTGCTTGTTTTTTTAATCAAAATTTTACTTTCGACGGTGGCTGGTGGCATCAAAGATTATGATGTTGCTGCCTTATTGGTGACATTTTTGTCCACTTAAGGATTCTGAATTGCAAATGCACCTGCCGACACTCTGATTAGTTGGTTTTGGCTGTGCTTTAATCATGATTATGGTATGTCAGTATCAGTATCTGTGCTATATTCGATTTCAAGGCTTTACATACATATAAATATATATAGATATATATATATATATATGTATATATATGAGCAGCCAAACCAAATTCCAAAGCCAATATTTTAATTACCAAAAGTGGTGAAGGATTCTTCTGTTAATCACTAGATTTGGATTTGTATGGTACGAGCAGATGTGCATGTATTTGATGACAGTGAATCTTACATATCAAACTTACGTACATAAGAGCAAAAAGGTAAAATAATATTATGACATTAGAAGTTCTTCAATGTGGGACAAATTTTGCGAGACAGTTATGGCACGTAAGTTGCCAATCCACCCAATTATAGTGTATCAATCGACTAACTACTCACGTCCTGCACGATTTATTTGTATTTCCAAGATTGTAAGATCCTTGATAATTTTCTCAACTGATTTTCAATCATATAATTCTAGTATCCATTTTAATATCTTGTAAAAAAATATATTAGATATTGTTGATGATAATGAATGATGATTTACATATACAATTACAAAAATATTAGGACAATCAGTAGTGAGTCCTGCATGATCCAAATTCGCAAATCATTATAATGTTGTTCTCAACCTCTTAGCAAGAAAATGGTAAACAAATTTTAACATCAGATCAGATACGATTGCGAATGCGACTGCGTAGATTATACCTTCCAGTATATGAAGAGACTGCATGTAAATTATCTCCAACTTCTTCTTTGAAATGGTTTGAATCCGTCAGGTGTTCAATGCCGTCTGATATGTCTTTGTCAACGAATGCAGACCAGTCAGATTCATCATCTGATTCCCAGGAAAACTGATCTGCATTTTTTCGCAAGCTCATAACCTCCTCTGTTAGGTTTTGTAGCATATCGTAGTTTAGCCTTTCATAGTCCCTGAAATTTTCAACACAGAGACATGTTAAATCCAAATCATAAAAAATCAACTGGATAATTTTAGGTTTGATGAGTTCTTTTCACGTACTTGTATTTCCAACAAGCATATAATAAGTGAAGGGCAGCATACAGCACATAAACGTTCCTAACTCCACTATCCCACCGAGTCCGTTGCTCTACTCCATTTGATGCAAATCGAAGGACTGCAAATTCGAGCAGGAATGCAAGGCATAGAACTGCAACAAAAAATGTTCACATACAAGTTAGTTCAAAATCACGAAATATATTTTAGTTAAAAATACATACGATTAATGAATGATATACTCACACAAATAAAGCCAGTGTCTCACTGGGTAAGTTTGCTTTGTGCTGGTTAACATATAAATGGCAAGCATTGATATGAAATAGAAAAATACTGCTTTCATTGACCGCGATTCCGCCAGCAGTGCATCGTGCAAGGCGAATAGCCTATCCAAAGCAACAAACATGGATGCCTGCTTCTGTTCAAAAGTTTCCTGTATACATAAACATAAATTATTGTTACGTTAATCATAAAATTATGACAAAGACTGGACTAATTAGAATGCAACAAAGAGAAATAGTAACCTGAGCTTTCAATATGGTCTTTGAATTTTTGACTAGATGGTCATGAGCTCGTTGAATCTTCTCTTGGCTTCGAAGAAGCTCTTCCTGTTTTTCACGGCCTAATGTAGCAAACTGCTGCAATATTCCCCTGCAAATTTAAAATATGTTATTAACCACATTAAAACATACAGCTTGATAATGTCTAAAATCTATTCACCAACATGGCCAGTGCATTATGCCTTACTTGCTCTCTTTTAGAGCTTGGGATTGGAATTTAGTCAGTGACTGAAGCCCGTTAAGCGCTTCAGATTGGCCATGTAGAAGTTCCTTTTGCCTTTCCAAGGAAATATCAGCTACATTCCCAATATCGTCCGCCTTGCTTTGCAACTTGCTCATCTTTGAAGACATAGCTTCTCCAACTACACCTATCTTCTTCTCTATTTCATTAGTCTCATCCTGCAAGCTGAGTATTCCTTTACCTAAAATGTGATAAGATTCATGAACCATTACCATCCCTGCTTCCAACTTTTCCTTCATTTTGTGCTGCCCCATCTGCAATTCCAATTGGGAGGCTTCAATTTTCTTGGACTGCTCAAACACCGCCTCTGACTGCTTCACTATCTCACCAATGTGATCACTCACATTCTTGGAAGTCTGAGCCACTTGTTGTGTTTGTTCATCGATTGAAGTCAAAGAATCATGTATATCTTTCGAGCCCTCTAACAACATATCTGCCTTTTCGGCTATGTTCACTAATTTTTTCTCTGCATAATCAGATGATTTTTTCAAATCATTCACCAATTTCTCCGTCTGATGCCTGAAAATACCAGACTGCAACTGATGGCAAATGGAATTGGTTTCTAAATAGAATCCGCGGTATGTGTGAATAGCATCATTGTCCAGTTTTTCAAGGCAAGATTTCATAGGAGAGCCTACGCGACACATGGGAAAAGGGCTTCTTCCAGAATCCTTTTGAAAGCAATTGCTAAGATCCCAAGCAAATCTCTTCCTCTTATCATTGTCATCCGCGGCCATCTCTGAGCATGCTCCAAATATTCCTCTATAAGCATCATGCCAACAAGAATTAACGCCCACCAGTTTTCTTCTAGCATTGTTGACACGTTCAGTGCCTTTTTCATCATTGAGAGAATCCATGGAGAACTCAGCAACGATATCACTAGATATTTGCAGATTTTGCGGTGGATTATTGCCAGTGTTGCCAGAAGAAGAGGACCAAAACCATGACATACCAGACCTTGAAAGAGTTAGGAAGATCAAGAGGAAAAGAAGAGACTTACATTGTCCCATCTGAGCCTCTTTTCCTAGCAAAAGATATTCTTCAAATTTGTATGTAGTTCAAATATCCGGTAACCTGCATTACAAAACCCTAATAAGTACCGGAAAGAACCATAAACTATATGCTGCCAGAATTAGAAAGGTTAGCGGATTTCAACAAAAATTGGCAGAGTTGGAAAAAATGTAATAAAAATCAATGAAATCCGTATTTAGAATGCATTGAAAGAGAAAGATAACAGGAAAAGGAAAAGCCAATGCAGAGAAAAGAAGGTGATCGTAAATTTGATTACCATAATTTTTGCGTTCAGAATTCTGTTCACATATTCACTCCAGCAGAACTAATAAGCACCACATAGCCTACTAAATGAAAAATAATCATTTCCTTCGAATTTGATAGCCCGGCAATATGTGCTTAATTATGTCGTTTTGAACTAGGCCTCTTCATCAGTTCAAATTTTTTCTTTAAATTGAAAATTGACATTCAACTAATATGATTTAGTCCTCCTAAGCAGAAACATAATCAAAGAAAAAAAAACAAAACAAAACAAAGACTAATACTTTTCACCTTCTTTTACTACTCTTGTAGAATAAATTATTTAATGGCATAAAAGGAGACAGGCCAAAACCCTCAAAGGGTGAAATCAAAACAATCAAATTTCTGGGAAAAATCACACAAAACTTTGAAATCTATGCAATCGGATGATGAAAATTTAGAAGTGTATGCAAAACAGAAAACGAAAGTTCACAACTTGAGAGAGAGAGAGAGATGACTTACTTGAGAACGCGAAGAGGAGTCGCTCTGCTTGCGTTTTGGACTGTTGGGTTACATGCAATGGTGACTTTCGGAGAAAGAAACGTGTATGATATTTATAAGGGAGGAGATGCTGTCTTTTTGGAAACGACCCAAAATAAAATAAAATAATCAAACTGTTTGAGTTGGGAATTAGGACAAAAAAGGTCAGTTTCTGTATTGGGTCCACTAGTAGAATGCCGCGTAGTGTTTTGATGGGTACTCCTTATTCTCCTGGGAAAACATCGCGATTTAAAGTAAAGACTTGCGATCCAAGGAAAAGCAACGGCATCAAAAAGAAAATATATAAAATACAAATAAGTAACCTGTTGGAGTTGGGAAATATTACTTTTTGTCCAAAGGGTCTGCCGCGTGTATTGTTATTCGGTCCTCCTTATTCCGCTGGAGTTGGGAAATATGTGTATTTATCCATTTGGGCGCTTATAAAAACCCAAATCAAGTTGTGATTTGTGAATGGTGGAAATTATAAGCGTCTGTAATTTCATGCCCAGTGCTGTCCTCCCGATTTCTGCCGCTGCCTTCGACTCCTGCAAGGAAGGCTGGTACTACCGCTGTGTCGGCCTCGACCCCTAAACCATTAACTGCCGCCGCCTGTCAAATTTGTATTACTTTAATTTTGATCACTAAACAACGACGAAGATGTTGCTGGACAAAAATAGGAAGAATGAGAACATCGCCAAGGGCAACCGGATCTTGATTAGCGTCACTGTGGTAAGCAGTGCGGGCCCGATCCGTTTCCTTGTCAACGAGCAGGAGCTTGTTGCTGCCGTCATCGATACCACCTTGAAATCCTATGCGCGTGAGGGACGCCTTCCGGTTCTCGGATCCAATATCAATGACTTCCTGCTCTACTGCCCCAACACAAGACCTGATGGTCTGAGTCCGTGGGAGACAATTGGAGCACAAGGAGGAGTTCGTAACTTTATGCTATACAAGAAGCCGGTGAAGATGGAGAACGATGAAACACCTGCAGCAGCAGCAGCAATTACTCGCAAAGGTAGTGGTCGGACCTGGAAGGCATGGATCAATAAGAAGTCCCTCAATCTCAAGATCTCTTCTCATTGAATTAATTTCTCATTTAATGGGGGAATTAAAGGAGAGTTTTCTATATTTGCTTTTATTTCTAGTTTTGTTATTGGTGTCCTTCCCCATTATTTTTGCTTATTTCTAGTTTTGTTTTAATTAATTTTGAACAAAATCTACTAAGTCTAAGCTAAAAATTAAGCAGAACATATGTAGAAAAAAAAAATTGATTTTCTTTATTTGTTTTAAAGCAGAAATTACAGTGCGTTCAAAGGGTTTGCAAATTTCGCCACAGACCTCCAAAACTTAATTAGGTCGGGCGCACCAATGTAACCATAAATCAATACCAAAAACAGACTTTAACTAAACCCTAACAATAGCTATTTTCTACCTCTTACAGTCTTACACGATACCATAACAACAAAACCAACAAGCAATTTATCTAGTGAGAACGTTGGTGAAATTTCTTCTGGTTCTTGGAGTCGGTGAATAGGACCAGTTAGCACAAGCAAGAGCATCTGGCACGTGAGTAATAGAGGGCTTGACATAAGCACATCGAGAGGTAAGTGTTCCCTTTTTTCCACTGCATGTATCTCGCACGGTAATTTTCTGCTGCACAAAAGCTTGACTGCAACTGGGGTTGCAGATGAGCCCTTGATGTTGGTGAAGCCAATTTCGCTGATCTTGACTTTGGATGGATCATCTTGTTTACAGTAAGTCCCGGATTGGCAGTAATATTGGTTTATGAAGACAGGGTTACTAACATTTACCATGGTAATATCCTGAAAGTAAATATGTGAGCCAGTCGTAAATGTTGGGGAGCCCTGTTGAATTATAAGTATTTGAGCTGAAAGGTTTTTTAGAATAAGTTTTGTTTAAATTGGTGTATTCACTTGTGCAGAATGAGGCAAAGTGTAAATGTCTAGTTTTGTAAAAAGGGCCATGAGTGCCATGTGGTGTTAGATCCATGAAATTAGAAAGATGTGTGTCTAGGATGAAATGTAGAGGTTTATGTGGTCCCAAGTTAAGGACCTTCAGTTAATGTAAAGCACGTTAGTGCTCCTTTCTGAACAGAGAAGAATTATTCCTCTGAAAACTTTATGCAGAGAGAAGAACACTAAAACCATTCGTTTCCTCCAGTCTTTTGTTCATCATTTGTTCTTTCTGTTCAGCTCCATCTAAATCAACAAACACTCATTGATTTCAGTAACACTAACATGGCCTCAGAGCCTAGTTGGATTTAACAATCTGGGCGTAAATCTGTGAAGTTATCGAGCTCAATCGAAGCTCTCTTGAAACTCTGTGAAGGTTGTTGATTCAGATCAAAACCATGTCTGGATCTGGAGGCTCGGAAGTGAGGACTCCAATCTTCTCCGGTGAGAACTACGAGTTCTGGAGAATCAAAATGGTGACAATCTTCAAATCACATGGGTTGTGGAATCTGGTGAAAAAAGGAGTTAAAACGTCTGATTCGAAGAAGAAGAAGAAGTCTGAAGGATCGTCGGAGGATGATGGAGATGAAGAAATGTCAGCTGTGTTGATGCAAGACGCAAAGGCTTTGGGGATCATTCAGAATGCAGTCTCGGATCAAATCTTCCCTCGAATCGCCAATGCCGAGTCAGCGAAGATGGCATGGGATTTGTTGTATGGAGAGTATCATGGTGGTGATCAGGTACGATCTGTGAAATTGCAGAATCTTAGAAGAGAATTTGAATATGCTAGGATGCGAGATGATGAGTCTTTGTCTAGCTATCTTACACGGTTGAATGATCTAATCAATCAGATGAGAACATTTGGTGAATCTTTGTCGAATGAGAGACTAGTGCAGAAGGTCCTGATTAGTCTTAGCAAACCTTATGATTCTATCTGTTTGGTTATAGAAAATACAAAGTGTCTAGAGACTGTAGAATTGCAGGAAGTAGTTGCAATCTTAAAGAGTCAAGAACAACGGTTCGATTTGCATATGGTTGATGCAAATGAGAGAGCATTCTCTTCACTCTCTGTGAATCCAAAGGAGCAGAACAAGAGTGGTGGTCATTTGAGTTCATCTAGAACTCAGAGAAATTGGAATTTTAAAGGCAAGAAATGGGAATCAAAACCCAAATTTCAGCAGAAATCTCCTCTGCACAATTATCAGAGTGCAAATGCATCTCAGTCAGTGGGTCAGGAGGTTGCAAAGCCTCAGTGCAAAGTGTGTTCTAAGTATCACTCTGGTGAGTGTAGATACAAAGGGAAACCAAAGTGTTTCAACTGTGATAAATTTGGGCATTGGGCTAGGGAGTGTAATGTAGGCAGGTCAGTGCAAAAGGCAAATAATGCAAGTCAACTGGAGATGACAGGAAATCTGTTTTATGCAAACAACACTGTCACAGAACCAAAGGTGAATGGAGAGTGGTATATAGACAGTGGTTGTAGCAATCATATGACAGGAAATGTAGATTTGCTTGTTGAGGTTAGAACCAATGTAGCTGGTAAAGTCCAAATGCCAACTGGAGATCTTGTGAATGTTGCTGGAATGGGATCTTTAGTTATTGATACAAATAAAGGGAGAAAATATGTTAGAGAAGTAATGTATCTTCCCGGGTTAAAGGAGAACTTACTCAGTGTTGGTCAGATGGATGAACATGGATACTTCTTAGTGTTTGGAGGTGGAATGTGCAATGTGTATGATGGTCCATCACTAGAATGCTTGGTTATGAGAGTGAAAAAGAAAGTGAATAGGTGTTATCCACTGACTTTGTTCTCTGAGAATCAAATGGTGCTGAAAGCGAGTGTTACTCACTCCACTGAGATTTGGCACAGGAGATTTGGACATCTACATTTTGGTGGTCTCAAACAATTGAGAGACAAGGAAATGGTACATGGTTTGCCACAGCTTGCAGATTACAATGGAGTCTGTGAAGGATGCCAATTTGGTAAACAGCACAGAGAAGAATTCCCTAGAAATCAAGTGTATAGAGCAACTGCTCCACTTGAATTGATTCATGTCGATTTGTGTGGACCTATGAAGACTGAGTCAATTGCTGGAAATAAGTATTTCATGCTGCTGATAGATGATTTTACCAGAATGGTTTGGGTCTATTTCTTGAGATATAAGTCAGATGCGTTCAACTGCTTTAAGAAATTCAAAGCTATGGCAGAATTACAAAGTGGTTTCAAGATTAAGACATTGAGAAGTGACAGAGGAGGGGAGTTCAAGTCTGCAGAATTTGATCAGTTTTGTGAAAAAGAAGGATTACAAAGACAATTTACTCTTGCATATACTCCACAACAAAATGGAGTAGTGGAGAGAAAGAACAGAACAGTGATTGAAATGGCGAAATCTATGTTACATGAGAAGAGGATGCCATACTCTCTCTGGGCAGAAGCTGTGCATACATCTGTATATATTCTGAATAGATGCCCCACAAAGGCTTTAAACAACATTACACCTTTTGAAGCTTATTCTGGTAGAAAGCCAGGAATAGCTCATCTGAGAGTATTTGGATCTCTGTGTTATGTTCATGTTCCAAGTGAACAGAGACATAAACTTGAACCAAAAAGCCTAAAAGGAGTATTTGTGGGATATGCAACTTGTGAAAAGGGGTATAGGGTATTTGATCCATTATCTAAGAAGCTGTTCTTGTCAAGAGACATTGTATTTGATGAAGAAGCTGTCTGGAATTGGGAAGAGGACTCAGGGTCAACATTTCTTAATACTGGAAGTTTCATGCACAGTGATATAAGCACAGAGAGTAATGACAGAATGGTGTTGTCCCCTACATCACCTATTCTATCTCAGTCTAGAAGAGCTCCTAATAGTGAAGACTATGAATCTGAATCAAGGTCACCTATCTTAGGTGAATCTTCAAGCATGTCAAATGTAATTGAAGGACAAAATCAAGCATTTGATAATACACCTTTGAAATGGAGGAATCTGAATGATGTATTGGCTCAATGTAATCTGTGTATTATGGATCCAGAGAAGTATGAGGATGCCAAACAAGATGAGTCTTGGTTAAAAGCTATGGAGGATGAGCTGTTTATGATTGAAAAGAATGGCACCTGGAAACTTGTTGACAGACCAACTGAAAAACCTGTTATAGGGGTCAAATGGGTCTACAAAACTAAGTTAAATCTTGATGGCTCAGTGTTGAAGAATAAAGCAAGGTTAGTTGCAAAAGGCTATGCACAAAAGCCTGGTTTGGACTACAATGAGACTTATGCACCGGTTGCTAGGTTGGATACCATTAGAACATTAATAGCTTTGGCTGCACAAAAGAGCTGGAAATTGTATCAGTTAGATGTGAAATCGGCTTTCTTGAATGGAGTTCTACAAGAAGAGGTCTATGTTGAGCAACCTGAAGGTTTTGTAGTGAAAGACAAGGAAGAAAAGGTGTACAAACTTCATAAGGCCCTCTATGGTTTAAAACAAGCTCCGAGAGCTTGGTATGGTGAGATTGACAGCTATTTCTCTCAGTGTGGATTCAAGAAAAGTTTGAGTGAACCAACTCTGTATATAAAAGTAAGGGGAGAAGATATTCTAATTGTGTCTATCTATGTAGATGATATAGTCTACACTGGTAGTTGCAAATCAATGCTAGAAGAGTTCAAAGAAGATATGAAAATGAAGTATGAGATGACAGATTTAGGTCTCCTTCACCACTTCCTTGGGATGGGAGTGATACAAACAGATTCCTGCATCTTCATTAATCAGAAGAAGTATGCAAGCTCTTTACTGAGCAAATTTGGTTTAAATGAAGCAAAGACTGTCTCAACTCCTCTGGTAGCTACTGAGAAGCTATCTAAAGATGATGGAAGTGGATCTGCAAGTGATGAATTGTATAGGAGCATTGTGGGAAGTCTCCTATATCTCACTGCTACAAGGCCGGATATAATGTATGCAGCTAGTTTGTTGGCCAGATACATGCACTGTCCTACCAACAAACACTATGGAACTGCAAAGAGAGTACTCAGATACATCAAGGGAACTCTGGACTATGGATTAGAGTATGTGAAAGGAAGAAAAGCTTGCTTAATTGGCTTCTGTGATAGTGACTGGGGTGGTTCTTTGGAAGACAGCAAAAGCACATCAGGATATGCTTTCTCATTTGGCAGTGGTGTGTTTTCCTGGGCTTCAGTCAAACAGAATTGTGTTGCACTTTCAACTGCAGAGGCTGAATACATAAGTGCATCAGAAGCAACTACACAAGCAATATGGCTAAGGTTTGTTTTGGAAGATTTTGGAGAATTACAAACTGTAGCTACTCCTATTCACTGCGACAACACATCTGCCATTGCTATCACAAAGAATTCTGTTTTCCATCAGAAGACAAAGCA